TGGTGGAAACTAATTGTCGTCTATATCGTCGGTTTATACTCTTTTTATATTTATTAAATTTGGCATGGAAGTTGAACAATGTATCTCCGATATTGCATTAGATTTTACATCGACCAATTTAAAATTAAATTTACATTTCTGAAAAGAGTAAGTCTAAGGTGTAGTGATCAACTAACACACGCAAAAGAGACCTGACAGAGGTCACGAAATAGATCCTCATTGAAGCATATTCACTGATGTAGATTTCCGGTCTTCAGGAGGAATTTCAAATGACCCTTATATCAAAGACAATTGATAGTGGGATTTTCTGATGAGAGTTTGTAAATACACAAGGTTTGTAGCTAAAAAGCGCATTTCTTGTTTGCATTTGTAGCAATTAACTTTTATACAATGCCATGACTCAAATACTATCAGAGGATCCTACTCCAAAAATAGTATAGTGGGTATTATTTTGATTAATATCTTTTATCCTAATATCTTTGCTTAAAATGCATTCATTTTGGTGTGATCTGATTGTAGAACTCAGATTATAACTCACATTTTGTCGAGTTCTCCACAGTTTTTTCATTTCTATTTCCCAAGACACGGGGTGCGCGATAGACCTGCAGCCACGTGGCGTCCACTGGACAACGTATAGTTATACGGCAAAAAGGTTTTTTTTACCGGCAGTTGACTTCTGACTTCAAACTACCATCACCAATACCGGCAGTTGACTTCTGACTTCAAACTACCATCACCCCTAACTGTATGTCATATTCCATCACTTTCACAGTACTCACCTCACCTTTTTTCTACCTTCGTCTTCGAAACACACTTCTGTTCCTCCCTCCCCCCTCTCTCGACTTTTTCCACTTTGATGTTTCTTCCTCTCTATGAAGCCTGAAGTTAGCTAAAGGGCTAATGATAACCATTAAATGTCTGCCATTTGATATAAATAACTGACAAAACAGTTCATGGAACTTTCCTCAGATTTTGTTTCACAACTAAAGCGACTTAGCTGACATTATTTACTAGCATGGGTCGTTCAATAGACTTACCTGGTCAACATATACTCATGCGGCAAAATAAGTCTATAAACCGGCAGTTGGCTTCTGACTTCAGACTACCAGGACCCAACTGCATGTCATATTCCACCACTTCCCCAGTAGCCACCTTACCTTAACTTACCTTTGCCTCTCCCTTTGTATTTATCCGACTTTTTTATATCTTTGAATCACTCTTCTGTCCCCCCACCCTCTCGAATTGTTTTGACTTTGATGTTTATTTATTTATATCAAATGGCAGGCGTCTTGATGGCTATCATTAGCCCTTTAGCTGCCTTCAGGCTTCACAGAGGGGGGGGGGGGAGGAACATCAACTTGAAAAAAGCCGAGAGGGGAAAGGGAGGAACAGAAGTGTGTTTCGAAGACGAAGGTAGAAAAAAGGTGAGGTGAGTACTGTGGAAGTAATGGAATATGGCATAGAGTGGGGTGATGGTAGTTTGAAATGAGAAGTCAACTGCCAGTTAATAGACTATTTTGCCGTATGAATATACGTTGCCCAGGGTGCACCACGTGGAGGTAAGTCTATCGCACACCACTTGACTTTGATGTTCCTCCCCTCTTTGAAGGCCGAAGTCAACTAAAGGGATAATTATCACTAATTTAAAGCCTTTTATTTGATATGAATAAATTCACCAAGCCACTCTTTATTTAATTTTCCTTATCTTCAATTACTGTTTTCCGTATTTAGATGCCTAATACCGGCAAAAAGTCTATTAATCTACTAAATCTAAATATTTTATCAATCATTAAATACCTAAAAGGTTGATTTTCAGTCTTGCCTATTGCAGCTTAATGAACAAAATATAGCATATTAATTTACATGTTTAGTTTTTTAGCTAAAAATAAATTTAAATTTAATTATTCACTTCACTATTCTAATTTGGGAACATAATGCACACCTATAGCTAAATTATTTTTTTAAATAATATAATTTCTACTTAAAATTTTCTCTAAAAATATTTTCTCGAAACGAGGAAACCATATAATGCCAGAAATAAATCAGTCATTCAAAAACTAACAATCCATGGTACTAAACAGAACAATTTTAGACATTGTAAACGGCTAATTTTTTTATTTTTCTATGCTCGTAAATTAAATTCTACTTGTCTGTTTAAAAGCTTTTTTTAATTTTGATGAGTGATAACATTCATTGAATGTGCTTATTGTTCTAATAATTAGGTCACTAACGCGATGACCTTAACTTACGAAACTTTAATATGCCATAGCTAACTAAGGTTAACTCAAGATACATTTCAACGAAACAAGTTGCTGAATTTTTTGGGGACTTATTTCTTGAAAAGTATGAAAGTTGCATTTTTGTAGCTCAGAGGGAATTGAAATACAATTCCCATTTGCATAATTTGGCTTAGTTTTGTGGCAAACGCAGCACTAATAAGACTGAACCAAAGAACCCCTTGTGCACCGAACATTCTAGAATGTGCGGTCGTGCTGCTGATCGAAGTATGGTGCAAATGAGGTCACGGGGGCCATGGACACCTCAGCCAATCAACAATCATAGCATGGTCATCGTTGCGAAAGAGTACATAATGACCAAGATTCACCTTAGTGGCACATAACCCAAATTAAATTGCTTTACGCTAAAACTATGTCTTCTCTATGGGGTGCGATAGACTTACCTCCAGTTGGTGCACCCCGGCCAATGTATTCTCATACGGCAAAATGTCTATTAACTGGCAGTTGACTTCTAACTTCAAACTGCTATGATCCCACTGTATGTCATATTCGACCACTTCCACCGTACCAATCTTACCTTTTCTCTGCCTTTTTGTCTCTTTAACGCCTTTGAATCACTCTTCTGTTCCCCACTCTCCACTTTTTCTTACGTTGATGTCCCTCCTCTCTGTGAAGCCCGAAGTCAGCTAAAGGACTAATGATAAGTGTCATAAAGCCCTCCATTTGAAATAAATAAATAACTGTCTTCTCTGTATCTATGGTGTAGCCTAGCTAGAAAAAGGTGCCTTCTAATGCTAGAGATTACTGAGAATAATTCAAGGCTTATTAGTGTGACAATCCGCTTCCGTCTCACTGGCTGAAATTCACAAAGCATGGAATGCATAAAGATACGAAAACCGCAATTCAGAGTTTGGTTAAAATGTTCTTTTTTCGTTTACAGAATTTACACATTACCTTTAACATTCTTTTTGGAATTAGACATTCAATGGAACCTATTCACCTGAAATACCGTCCAGCCGTGAACACTTTGAAAACAGTTGCTTCGAAAAGTCGAAAGATTTTCATTTCCAAAGACACTTTGCTCTTCGCCCGATTAATATCAACATCGAGAAATTACCTAGCTACATCAATAGGATCGACAGTTAAGCTATTGGGCGAAAAATGGATTACGCTACTTTCTAATTTTCGAAGAGATGTGAATCAGTAATTCTTAAAACGTTATTGTCACCTAAGTAAGGGATGGGGGGAGGGGGGGGGTGGTTAGATGGTGAGGTTTAATCATGAAACCATGTTCAAATTATAAGACTGCATTCAATTTAAGTATTGTCTAATTTTCAGTCTAGACCTCTATGCCTATTTAGCGAAATTTGTGAAATGTATTTTTTTCCCCTTAATGTGTGATATCATCCTAATAAACGGTTAAAAACCATAACTTCACTTCTCCTTTCGAAGTGCATTAAACGAGGAAATATTAAAGACAGAAATATGAAAAATGGGTGATTTTGATCAAATTATGACAAAATTTTGGTTTAAACACCTGTTTAATATACTTTTAAATGCTCAAAATAGGCGTAAATATTGGAAATGCCAAATTTTGTATATTTTATGCTCACCTTTTCATTGCCCATAGGAAAAAAAGATTTCCGATAGGGATAATTGCTATGTTTTCCCAATAATTGAATGCACCACGTGATTCAATGTGTTATTGTTATATTTAGCAGAAATTTTGCAGATATCATCTTACTGGCATTATTTGATCACTGGAAAAACAATCCTATTTGATCGTAAAAGTCATAAAGGAAAAGTTATAAATTTCACAGTTGTTGCTAGGGCAAATATTTCCCAAACCTCCGATCCAAGCGTCCAATGATGTAGGGCTCTGTGATAAATCGATTTTCCTCTCAACATCTATGTCGTCGTGTTCATTAAACCGCGATTTAATTTTCGTAAAATCGTGATTGGTTGATTGTGTGTGTTGGCGATTCTTAATTAATTTATAAAATTCATTTTACAAAATACATTAGGCTCAATCACTTTAGTTTATGAATTCAAATAAAATCTAATTAATTCTTAATTTTAATACAGAAAGTCACTTGTTTGGGTATACACGAATTTGACAGATAGTATATTTCAATTTTAAAAGACTTATTTCACTCTCCAAATACCTACCCACAAATTCATAACAACCGGGATAGTAATAAAATTTTATGTTAAGTTAAATACCCCTTTGTCAGTAACTATCTAAGTTCAAGCATTCATTGCTGGGGGAAGGCGTTATCGCTCCGCTAAATTATTTTGACAAGTAGAGCTGTAATAGCACACGATTCACATTTAAATATACTGAAATAGAAATAAGTAGTCGGTATAAAATTGCAAATATTTTTTGTGTATGCAATCTGACAAGGTAGGGCATTCATTGTACAACATTTACAAGGAGGGCAGTGGAAATAAAGAAGGAATAAAATAATTTTTGTTTCTGGTTATTCGACTCCACTTTTCAGTCCAAATTGGAAGTAGGGCGTTTTATGAGTAAAAGAGTTTGTATGTGGGGAAACATTTTCCGTTTTTTTTCAATGGCAATGCAGACGTGGAGAAGTTGGGAGGGCGATGCAAGAAGACAGACTGGAAGGACCGGCTGAAATGTGTCCATGCTGTTTCTCGTTTGGATCGTTCAAGGTAAACCGGGCTATACGGAGACAGTTGGAAAGGGGATTGAGGTAGGGGGGGCAGTAGAAGTGCGGAAGGAGTAGAAAAGGAATAGTCTCATGGTTCAGCGCAAAAATTCTCCAAATATGCTCGAGTACATCCAAGACAACAACACTGGGAAAGTGGCGATTCTGGCTCATATCGCAAATAAACCTGGCAATAATCATCGAAGCGTTTCCTCAAACGTCTTCTTGGCAAGTTATCAGTTAAATCAGGACCTAAATTTGGATAATATATATGAAATACCCAAACTGGCACACTTACCATATATTCCTCGAGTTATAGATATTAAATCACGAGCCATTCGTTTTTTGTAAGGGGAGTATGTTCCACGTTCCCCACATTGTTCTTTTAGTGCATGAATCATGGCCTGACCACAAAGAATTCTGGGACGATCTTCAAAAATAGGGACAAATGGGGGTTCTTCCCGTCTGGCAACATTTACAGGCTCCTCCGTAGTAGTTGCTTTAAGTGGTTCCGGATCTTGGTTCCATTGTTCGAAAGGCGTTACACCGCAGGCTCCAGATACAAGAAAGAAGATATTAAAAATTAAAAAAATTGGAATGTAATGTTCAGAGGGAAACATTTGTCCTGTTTGGTGCTACGAGGATCTCCTTAATCACTATGTATGTCAATATGAGCTTTGAATGTTAACTCTCTAGCGAAACGCTCTCACAGTGTTTATATATCTTTGTCACATCAATTGGCCAATCAGAGACTGCGCGCCAATTTTAATGGGGGCGGACGAATTGGTTGCAGAAAATGCATTCGAATTAACTCGAAAACTTGTCATGTGGCTTTAATCACACAACTTTCTTTCGCGTTTAAACACAATAAGACTTGAATTTCTAAGCCACAACTACGGCTAATCAATAAGCGGATCATTTGCTCTTTGCCTGCGCTTCTTAAAATATCCTCTCCCTAAATCTCATAGAAAATTTCGTTGAGTTATTGGAACTTTCCAAAATGTGAATCTGAATTTTCACATATCCTTCCCTAACAGTTTTTTCTGCGTGCGTTTAAAACTATTTTAAATATTTATTTTAAAATTATCACCTACTTTGTCTGTATCATCTTGATCAATGATCCGGATGTGATGTCTTTACGCACCGCTAATTCGATCACAAATCTGTAAATATTAATGTTGCGTAAAGCATCATGTCCCGAAATGCATTTTATGAAAAAAGAGTGATCTAAATGCATTGGCTGATCGTTAAATATTATTTTTTAGGTTGCTTAGACCAATCAAACGTGTTTTAAGGTAAGTTAACTCCAAAAAATATTTTAACCAGTATTTTACTAAATTATTATTTTTACTATTACTTTTAACCAATTTTAACGTATCTGGCAAATGAAATAAAATTACATTTTTCCAATTATTTATTTTAGGAAACATTTTTAAATTTTTTATAGAAATTTGACTAGTTAAATTCGATTATCAGATTGCGGTGAGTTGACAAAATCACGGTTGAATTCTTGCAGCTGTTTGTTTATTCAAACTGTTTACAAAATATTAAGCTAGTGTAAATTTTGTCAAAAATTTCAAATATTTACCATTTATCTATATATATATATTCGCATTAGCATTTTATTATTCATCCTATATTTTTAAAAATTGTCGTTCGTCTTGTTTATTAATTTTTATTTGTTATTTCTATTAAAGCATCCTTTCATTTAAATGCTCCTCAGTTTCAATCAGAAATTGGGAGCGCAATGGGATAAAAAATATTTTGATCACATGAAGATTCATTGTCCTAGATGGTCCATACATATTCAAATTTAAATTAATCAATATATCTCATTAACATTGCATACCAATTTCTTCAAAATTATCTGAGTCACTCTGTATTTCTGGCGCAATCTATAAGCTCGTCTAATCTTGCCAGTCAATATTTCTGGTTCATTGCGTTTGACATCACGCGTTGTCAGTTCTTATGTCCTTTCTTAATTCCACAAAATGGTGCGTTAATTTTATTGCACTACACGGGGATTATGAATCAGATCCTCCAACTGTCTCTCTCTCTCTCTCTGCACTTATGCCTTTTTCCACATCTCTATTTGCCTGTGTTAATTTCAGAAACTTCGATCAACATGCCTTATTTTAAAATTTAAATCCATTTAGCACGTCTTGGTTCACTCTTTCTCTTCGACCTTTAAGGCTTTGTGCCACTTTTGTCTCATACACGAATATTTGGTGGTTTAAGGCAAAGTCGCGATATAAAGATGCAAGTGGATTGAAGATGATGTCCACTATGGAGCTTGACAATGATTTTCGAGGATTTGCATCTCAATTAGGGAAGGGCATAAATTCATTTGGACATACTTTTTCATCTTCTAATCCCCCTCCCTCCCACCCAACAATCGATTGATAATAAAATTCCACAGTCGAGTTTGTCATTTCACATTGGGTGTAGTTTTCTTTAACCTTTTACGCTCTGCAAGCGACTGTACTGTCCCTATCAAAGCAAACTCCATTGGAACTACACTTATAACAGAAGGCGCAATATTGTCGTTTGAAACGTGTTCAATATGTGCCTATAGCCTTCGCCTGATAAACCACCAAAACGCATCACGTTTGGTGAACCAGTCTTCTACTGTG